AAATTAGTTTGAAAAATGGATAAAGAGTGAATTAATGTATACAAAAGTACCCTTATCCCTAGCATTTAGGGTATGGTCTCAATAAACATCAGCTATTATTTCAGTAATCTATCTTGACAGTTCAGAGTGAATATCAAATGAGACCACATATGTGAAAACCCTTTGAAAACTATAAAGTATGCAACGATATTGGTTATTTTAAATAAGCTAAGCTTGGTTTAGAACATAATGAAAAGAGCAGTAAATTTAGTGACATGAGGTCTGGGCTCAAATCCCAGTCTTAGGACTGCCTAGCTATATGATTTGAGGTAAGTCCAAGAGCACTAGGCCTGATACCTCTTGACCCATAAAACAAGGAAGCTTAACTGATCTGCATTCAGTAGAATCCCTGTGGGACCATAACTGGATATAGGGTGGATGTGGCAGGGAAGAAAGAGAGTTGGGGATTAAAAAAAAGTAAGCAAGTAAGGTTCCACTCTCTAAACCCACTTCAACTTTAGCAGCCCTACTTTTATTAAAAGTTTTAGTTTTGGGTTCTGAATAAGATTGTTCTAGGAGAAAAAGCTCAACACATTGAAAAAGACTGATAACTAAAACTAATGCACTAAAAACTAAGCCTAAAGACTTCCTGGCTCTTTTCTGTTTCCATATATGGGACTCTACAAAAGGGGCTGGCAATGTCCCAATCCTTGAAAGGTTCACAAGCTAAAACTCTCCTATAACGTAAAACAACAAGTTAAAACTCAAGTAATGAAATTATAAAGACCAATCAAAATAGAGGCTGTCAGTGCAGCTATGCCCAGCCCCCAGTGTCAACGTGCAATATTAGCCAGGTGAGGCAAGTTTAAGTAAGGCACATGGGAGAACAGCTGTGTTTATAAGGAGCCCAGGGATCCTGAATGCCTGCAACGCAAAAGACCTCCTGACTCTCCCTATTCTCTTAACAGGGATGGTTTGATAGAGTGTCTCATTAAGGACCTGCTTATTTAAAAATATAATAAGATTACTAATGCATGCTTTCTTCCTAACTTTAGTTCACCTTTTGCTGAAGCACACTGCTATCAGTTCACTGGACATCCAATGTGCATTTTAAGAGGCTGGTCAAATCTCTCCAGAAAGAACTTCATTCTGCCTTCTTCACCACGGTTATTGGTGGATTTTGATATTTACCCAGAGAATGATATTCATCACCAAAAGCTATCATTTTCATGCAAAAGTGGTATTTCATCTATTTACTAAAATATTACTAACATTATAAGGTTTTAAACAGTTCATCACACAACAGCAAAACTCAAACTACATATACACAAAAGGCTCAAATATATATTCATCAGTGTTAATCTGTTGGTTACATACTTGTAAGTATAAAGTTTATTGACTATTAAGTAATGAAACTGACTGAATGGCTTTTAATCTCATTACTGTAGTTAGTCTTCTGTAGATGCATGGGTTTATCTGACCTTCATTTAGTAGTTATTTAAGAAATATTTACTGAATGAAACAAGAATGTACAAATAAATATGCAATGAATTAATTAATGTGCAATTACAGTAGTATAACGTAATTCATAAAAGGGACACAAGTGCAAAGAAAGCAGCCTGTGGCCACCGCATCTCTAGGCAAGGTTGAAATAAAATAAATTTGCCTTTGGCTTCCTCCCCTACCTCTACTTAACACCTTTTTGTCTTTGGGGCCTCTTTTTTGTTAGCTGTCAATTCTCTGCTTACTGACAACTAAGAAACTGGCTTAAAGGTATAATACATCCCAGGAACTTCTGTATTAAGAGATTCCTCCATGACCACTCAATGCAGAAAGGACAATCTTTTCAACAAATTGTGCTAGGAAAACTGGATTCGCACGCAAAAGAAGTTGGACCCTTACCTTACACAACATAAAAAATTTACTCAAAATGTATCAAAGACCTAAAGAGCTAAAACTATAAAACTCTTAGAAGACAACATCGGTAAAAGCTTCACAGCATTGGATTTGGCAATGGTCTTTTTGACATAACACCAAAAGCATAAACAAAAGAAAAAACAGATAAACTGAACTACCTCAAAATTTAAAACTTCTGTACAATCAGCAGAGTGAAAAGGCCACCTACAAGATGGGAGAGAACATCTGCAAATCATGTATCTGATGAGGGGTTGTTAATATACAGAATATATAAAAAATTCCTACATGTTTAACAATAAAAACACAAATAGCCTGATTAAAAAGTGGGCAAACGGTTTGAATAGACATTTCTCTAAAGACATACAAATGGCCAATATGCACATGAAAAGATTCTCAACATCACTAATCATTATGGATATGCAAACTGAAACCACAATGAGTTACTACCTCACACCCAACAAGGACTACCACAAAGAAAACAGAAAAAAAAAAAAAAGCAAGTGCTGGCAAGGATGGGAAGAAATCGGACCCCTTGTGTATTGTTGGTGGAAATATAAAATGGTGCAGCTGCTATGGAAAACAGTAGGGCAGTTATTCAAAAAATTAGAAATACAATTACTGTATGATTCAGCCATTCCACTTCTGGGTATATACCCAAAAGAATTGAAAGCAGGGTCACAAACAAGTATGTCTGTGCACCCATGTTCAGAGCAGCATTATTCACAATAGCCAAAAGGTGGAAATAACCCATGCATTGACAGATAAAAGGATATACAAAATGTGCTGTATACATACAATAAAACATTGTTCATATGTAAAAAGGAAGGAAATTCCAACATGTGCTACAACATGAATGAATCTCGAAGCCATTATGTTAAGTGAAGCCATTCACAAAAAGACAAAAACTGTATGATCCCACTCATATAATATACTGAGTAGTTAAATCCACAGGGACAGAAAGTAAAATGGTGTTGAGGGAGATGATCGTTTAATTGGTAGAGTCTCAGGCAAGGTGAAAGAGTTCTGGAGATGGATGGTGGTGATGGCTGCACAACAATGTGAATATACTTAATCCCACAGAGCTGTGAACTTAAAAATGGTTGAAATGGTCAGTTTTTGAGTTATATATATTTTACCCCAATTTAAATTTCTTTTAAAATGTTTTTAAAGGAGCAAAGAAGTTTTTTGTTTGTTTGTTTTTTAAAAAGGACTTCTGAAGCTGGAAATAGAGACTTCTGGCAGCTGAGATTACAGAGACTGGCAAGCAACAGGGAACAGGGGGTAGTAACTGGGATGCTCAGCTGGAATATAAAGCTGAGAAAAAGGGCACTTCTCCAAGAAACGTGTACAGCAGTATCTGAGACTTTTTTCACCCTTGGAATTGGGGGCTGTGGGAGGCTGTATACAGAAATAATTTACAAGGTAGGTCAAGGGTTCAGATCCTCATATATATTTTACCCCAATTTAAATTTCTTTTAAAATGTTTTTAAAGGAGCAAAGAAGTTTTTTTTTTGTTTGTTTTTTAAAAAGGACTTCTGAAGCTGGAAATAGAGACTTCTGGCAGCTGAGATTACAGAGACTGGCAAGCAACAGGGAACAGGGGGTAGTAACTGGGATGCTCAGCTGGAATATAAAGCTGAGAAAAAGGGCACTTCTCCAAGAAACGTGTACAGCAGTATCTGAGACTTTTTTCACCCTTGGAATTGGGGGCTCTGGGAGGCTGTATACAGAAATAATTTACAAGGTAGGTCAAGGGTTCAGATCCTCACGAGCCAGACACCAAAAAAAAAGTAATTTACAAGGACCAGATATTGCCCTTATGAATGACTA